CCTCACACCCAGGGAACCCGTCATTCATTCACCAGTGCACGTCCTGCCAGCTGAAGCCACACGGACGCACTTAACTCTGTTCCTGCCTCTGATTGCAAGGTTAGGTTATGCACACATCCCTGAGCTAAACACGCCGGGCCTCGGCAGCGGGCCACAGGGCTGAGATGCTCCGAGCACCAGCCCTGGGAGAGCCGCCGCACTCATCTGTCCCAGCCCTTTTATTCTGTAAGGAAACTGAGGCAGGGGGCAAAGCGACCCCTCCAGGGTTAGCGGCCACGGCAGGGGCAGACCCGGAATCCAGGGATCCACACAGGAAACCTCACCCGGCCTCACCACCTTTCTTACCCAGGCCACCTGCCCCTGGCCCTCTCCCTACACACAACTCTAGTTACATGGAAAAAAGTCCAGGCGGGCAGAGCTTCCTGGGACAGCTGTGGGGACACAGCCCAGAGCCATGTTGCGGCTTCCCCAACCCTTCCCAGGGGGTCAAAGGTCACACTGGAACTCGCTGCCCTCTCTGGACACTTGCCAGCAGTGAGCGGGCCTCCGACCTACGGCCCCCGCTGAGTTTGCCCACATCACAGGCCTGATGCCCGCAAGGGGGAGGGCGGCGGGCGAACCTCAGGCCCCACACCTCCGCCCTGGCAGGGCATGGCCTCCACCGGTGTGCGGTAAGCGTCCTGGCCCGGCCTGGGACTGCAGCTTTGGTTCCATAATCCATGTTGCTGGAAAGATGGCTCACCAGTACGCTGGGTCTGCTTACTGCTGAGGAGATCAAAGTCCTTCACAGACTACTGACATCCAGCCAGGTCACGTGGCTCCCCGCCAGGGCACAGAGTAGTGACTTGCCTTAAGTCACAAAGCAAGCTGTGACAGCCTTAGGAAAAAACGACCAATTCCCCTCTTACTCTGGGTGTGGATCTCCTAGTCGGCTCACATTTTTCTTTCACTAAGGACAGAGACTACAGTCAGAGGACGAGCCCAGGTTTCACCCCAAGAGGGGCAATGCAGAGGGAGGGCAATCAGGAGCTCCCCGTCTCAGAGCAGCGGGTGCGAGCCTGAGATCTGCCCCAGCGCTGGGTGACCTTGAGCAGGTTACTCAACATCTCAGAGCTCTGGTTCTCTGGCATTACAATAGGAGCAATCACAGTACCGTAAATCCGCCTCCTCAAAGGGCAGCCTATTTGCGTCCAGGAAACTAGTCAGAAACGTAGAATTGAGGTCCCTCCCAGACCTGTGGGATCAGAATCTGCCTTTTATCCCAGGTAATTCTAAACACATTTACACTTGAGAAGCCCAGATATAAAGCATCCATCACATGCCCACACACAGTCAGCCCTCAATAATAAATGTAAGTGCAGTTAGCACTTGAAAGGGTCCAAGACCCGCCAAGGCTCTCAGGAGGAAACAGACCCAGAAAGGCTGATTAACTTGCCCAGGGTCATACAGCAGCACTGGGATTCGAACCCAAGCTTCTGCCCCACACGCCCTCTTTGCATTCAAGACCTAACTCTTCACAGGGGACAATGCTATCTCAGGTGCTCTAAGAAGCAAAACCCTCATGTTGTTTTACCATAACCCCCCCCTACCCCGTCACTGTGCACCCCTCCCGTCAGGCCTGCTGGCGCGCATCTTTTCACCCGCCTGACTCTAGCACGTCTGGGCGCTGTCTGCCATTCGGAAGTGGAGTAAGCCGGGACTGCTGCCAGCTGCTGCCTGAGATGAAATTTTTAAAGTGAAAGGAAGCCTGAAAACACACCTTATAAATTTACACTCCCTTTCACCTATTAACACCTTCCCCATGCAGCACTCACTGCCCAAGCACAGAAACACCACAGGGTGTCAAGCTAGAAAGCACCTTTTTGGCTTCCCACCTGACGCCTAGCCTGAGAACAAAGCTCAGCGTGTTGTCTCCCCAGGGCTGGAGCCCTGTCGGCAAGGCCCACGGTCCTGGGCTCCCTAGACACTCCAACAGAAGGGAAAGCCGTGAGTAGCAGCGAAGCTGGGGCCCCAAACAAAGGGGCTACATGTGCGGGAATGACGAGAAAGGGAGTCTGCAGTCACACCACTGTGACTGACCTGCTGTACCCAGGACAAACATTCACAGCCAACAGATCCAGAAGGATCCCTGCCTACTGTGTGCAAGGCACAGTGACACAGTCGAGTGGCAGAGGGAAGACGCCAGGCAGGATGTCAAAGATCCGCGTTCCTAGCCTGGTCAACGCTGGGTCTGTGAAAGAATCTGCACAGAGGGTGGCTGTGGGGATTATATGTGATGAATGTCAAATATCCAGCCCAGAGCACAGAGAAGGTGTCAGCACTCCTTCGACGTATATGTGCTGTGCCAAGGCCTGGGCACAGAAACTTTCCTCTCGGTCATACTTCAAAGTTTGAAGTCCGAGCAATAATGGTGATTGGTTTTACAAGTGTCCAAATGGAAGTAACAAAAAATAAAGGGTTTCGAGATTTCAGATCAGGAAATCCTGATGTTTATATACCCATAAGAAACGCGATATGTGAAATCTCAAGTTCGTTAAAAAAAGGGCAGATTTCAGAGACACTAAGGCAAGGCTTTCCAGACTTCTTGTATATAAATCATCTGGGGGATCTTGTTAAAATGCAGATTTGGACTCAAGTAATCCAGAGGGGGGGCCCAAGAGTTTCCATTTCTAAGAGCTCCAGTGAAGCTGCAGGTCCAAGAACCCACACCTTTGAGCAGCAAGGTTCTACAGAATTCCTTAAATGGCTTGAGACAAATCTAAGGAAAGCCTGATTGAAAATCTACACACCAGGAGAACACCCCTGCAGCAGTGGACGGAACCACCCAGGCTGGCAGGGGTTCTTAAAGGGAGGCACACCACAAAGCTAGTGGCATTCTCTAAGATGGCCCTGGGCCTTATTCAAATGAGTCTGTGCCCTACATCACACTTCGTCTAGGCAGGTGACAGTACTCTCTAGCAATCAGGAAAGCAGCATGAATCTGAGAAAGTTCTTAAAAGCAGCACATCGCAGGAAACAAAGCGTCCTAGGATATTTCAAGTTCATTGCCACTCCAACAGCTAGTGGCAAGGTTAGTTCTTCAAGGCCTTTCTTAAATCACTGTTTTACCCATTTCCCTCTCTCTGTACATTAAATTTGATGCTGTTTCTGTTGACAGCTGTATTTTTTTAAATGCCTATCACATTGCCAGATATGGATAAGTCCAAAGCAGGAAGATGAATGCGACTGTCAGCAAAGGAAGCATCTTATACTGACTAACTCACCCTAACGTGTGTGTTGGGGGGAGATCAATAAAACATCTAAGGGGCTCATATTTACAGGATCAGAGAGTAAATTCTGGCTATTCTTTGGATCCAAATACTAACACACTACATCCTCCACATCCCCTGAAATGAGATTCTTGGAGACAAAGTGTGAGGTAATCTGATCTCCAGCTGCTTTTAGCACAGGAACACATCCGTCTACCAGGAGACACAGGCCAGCCTCACACACTGACTTAGAATAACATCTATGTTTATTACAATTCCCGTCACGACCCTCTGGACCAGCTGGGCTCACACTCAAACTATGGAGTCATTATAAGCCAGGGTGTGATGTCCAGCAGTGACACCCAGCTGCTCGGAAACTGCTGAGTGCACACCCCTGGCCCAGAAAGGAAGGCATTCCCTGCCCGGCACTCACCCGCTAATGCAGAGATGGTGCTCTGACAAGAAAGGCCAGGGCCGGACTGCCACCTGTGCCCAGCGTCATGAATACACCTGCTAATTCATCCACGCAATCATGAGGCTGCTTCCCCCAAGTACTCACACTGCTATGCTACATACCCAGCACGGTGGTGATTTCACCCATTTGGGAAGAAAGAGACTCCAAGGAAACTTCTGGATGAGCCGGCTTGGTCTTCCCTATTGGTCTATTGGGGGAGGAAGTTAAGTTTTCCAATAGGCCACCTTCTTACTCAGGCCAGAGAAAGCCTGCGCATTACAGGAGGCTGCAACAGAAAATCTTCTCCCTTCTCCTCTTAAGGCCTGCAAAATGTTCGCAAGGTACCACCCCAGAAAGGGAAACTGAGGCCCCAGGAGGTTCAACTAACCGAGCCAAGGTGGAGTCAGCACTATAACTAACTTCACAGGAGGCCTTATCAACTAACAAGGGAGGATGCGCCCAGGGAACAGGCCTGCATCCCCCTCCACTCTGGTCCTTTCCCAATCTCCAGGCCCACTGCCTGACACAGACTTAACTCTCAGCTGTCTTTTGAACATATGGCCCCTTGAACACATGGCTAGAAGCTCCAGCTACTTCCTGAACAATTCGCAAACAGTTCACGAGTTTGCTAAGATGCCTAATACCTGCAGATGACTTAAGCTAGCAAATACAACAAGCTTTCATCTAACTCGAGCGAATTCATCTTGGAATGGAAAAAAGAACCCTCAAGTCCTATTTCCTCCCTGTCCCCCACCCCGAGGGCCCGGTGTTAGGGAATGTAAGATGGTCTTTCCATCTCTTAGGAAAACGCCAAGTTTTCCTGGGACGCAGGAATGCTCTGAGTGCTGGCGGGAACTTCTTAGGAGGGACTCACGGCGAGTCTGCGACAATTTTAGACTCACACGCGCCGCTCAGCAGCCTGCCGGACCCACTGCTCGACTCTGCGCCCCGCCAAGTCTCGCCTGGCGTGGGGAGAGCGTGTCTCTGGGTCTCGACTGGGATTCTGGAAGTTCACGATCTCTTCCTTGTGACGGGAGGTTTTGGCGCCGCTTTTAGTGGGCTCCCGCAACTCCTAACTCCGGACCCACCGCATGAGTGAGGTGCTTTTGCTCTGCGAGTGCCGGGCTCATGCACACACGTGTGAACACACATTCCCTGAGGACTCTCCCTCTTTCGCGTGCCCTTGTGGTTTGGAATTCGGGCTAGAAGCCCAGGGATCCGGCAGGGCGCGGGATGGTGGGAGCGACCCCGGCCGGGAGGGACGCGGGGTTCGGCGCGGTGGCGTCCAGGATACTCACCGGGACCTCTGCAGCTGCTCGAAGGCGCTGGTGCTGCCCCCCTGGCCCGGCTGCTCCAAGGAGCAGTAGTTTTGCGAGGTCTGCCTGGAGAAAGCGATGGGCAGGATTCCCTGAGTGAACGAGTTGAGGCGGCTCCGGCTGCCGCCCCCACTCCCGGGGGTCCCGGAGCCCAAGAAGGCAACGGCTGGCACCTGCACGCTGGAAAAGGCATCGTCCTCCTCTAACTCCTCCTGCCCGGCGCCCCCGGGCCCGTCGGGCTGCTGCGGCTGAGCGCAGGCGGCGATGGGCGCCGGCCGGGGCAGCGGCCACTGCTCCCCCGACGCCCGGCCCGCGCCCAGGGAGCTCGAGAAGCCCCGGGCAGCCGCGGGGCCGGGCAGCATGGCGTAGCCGCCGGGGGCCAGGGGCGGCAGCGACGAGGGCTGCGGGAGGCAGTGGCCCGACCCAGCTGCTAACGCTGCCGCCGCCGCGCCGGCCGCAGAGAGCGCGCTGCAGCCGCCACGCTCGGCGGCCACCAGGCTGAGCCGAGTCCTCGCGCCGCAGGCGCTGCCGGCGCCCGCCTTGGCCGCGCCGCTCTCCTCGCCGCCGCCGCCCCACTCCGCGTCCTGCGGCGGCGGCCGGCCGTCCAGCGAGATGTTGGTGAGGAAGGAGAGGGCAGCCTGGCGGCGCCGCGGGTCCATGCGCGGCTTCCTGGGGGGCTCGGGCGGCGGCTGGGCCGGCGCGGCGGCCGCGGGCCGGGGCGGCGGCGGCTGCAATCCGCTGGTGCTCGCGGCGTCGGTGCCGGCGCCGCCGCTGCTGTTGCTGCTGCTGCTGCAGGCGGCCGCGGTGGCGGCAACCGCCGCCATTGTGTCCGTCTGCGGCGATATTTCCGCGATGCCCCGAGAAGCGAGCGGCGACCGAGTGCTAAGCCGCGGGCGCGAGCGCCGGCGACCCGGGCTGGGCAGGGCGCGGGGCGCGGGCGGCGTGCGCGGCGGCCCGGCCCCCGCGCGGGCGGGCCATGCTCGCCCCTCTGGGCTCGGGCGGGGGGCGCCGCCGCTCCGGCCCCCGCGCGCGCCTAGCTCCCTGGCCCGCTGGCTGGCCGCCTGGCCGTTGGGTCCGGGGCCCTCCCCGCCCGCGCGGTCCCCGGTGCCCGGGCCGGGTGTCCGTATTTATAGGTGCGCGCGCCCCGCGCTCGCGCTCCGGAGCGCTCTTTGCAATAACACAGTATCACGTGTGGGGAATGAAACCTGAGAGGAAAACAAAGCCGCCGGCGGCGGCCGCGGAGGCAGGCGGCGGGGGCGAGGGGCCGGAGGAGGAAGAGGAGGAGGAAGGGAAAGCCGCGCGGGCGGCGGCGCGGGTAGTCCAGGCTTCCTGCGGGCAGAGTTGGTAGCCCCCGGGGCGCGCGGGACCCAGACGAGGGAGGCGAGCACGTTTCCCCGCCGCGCTCGGGCTGGGAATTGGGGCGCGAGCAGAACCCCGTGAGTCACGGCGTGAGGGTGTGGTCCCGGGAGAGTTGTGGGTTTGCAGGACAGTTACTTGCAGCAACGCAGAGATTTGGCTCGCGAGCTAGTTAACTGGACCCCGCGCTGCCGTTGAGCCCTGAGAAATAGCTCCTTATTAATAGTACACAGATAGGTCCACGACCTCTTATGTGGACAGTCCCATCTTAGAGCTGTCGCTAACCACTGAGGTTGTCTCATTCCTTCGCAGGTCGAAGATGCAGCCCCTGAGATAAATGCACGCCCCGGGGAGCATAAGAGCCTAGGCGGTGAACATCTTCGTGTGACCAGACTCATTTATAGATCCCCATTTTATGGTGCTGTCACTTCTCATCTCTTTCTTAGCAAAGATCAACATAAATTTTTACTGTGGGCCTGAAATGTACTCTTTTCTATGAAGACTGAAGTAGGCTAAAATGGGCTCACACCCTTTCCCCTTGTCACCTTGCAAATTTTTGTGGATTAAGATCTCTGGTTCTCCCATATAAACAGTACAGACAATTACTTTCTGTCGCTTCTTTCATAAACATCTGTTTGGCACCCAACATGTCTTCTAGAAAGATGGATTCCTGCCCAAGGACGCGGTGACTCTTCCAGAGGGGGAACTCTGGGTCCGGGAGGAGTCACTGAATGCTGTATCCAGACCCGACAAATGCCTGTCTTGGGGGAGGGGAGGCGGGGTCATCAGGAGCAATCTGAAAATGAGTGTGGGTTTCGTTGTGCGGTTTGGGTGACTTACCAAATGCAATAAGGAACAATCGTCACACTGAATTAAGCTCTGCGACATCTAAGAAGACTCTCCACACTTTTCTAAGGGAGAAGCAGTGTGTTTAAGATCAACGGATTAATTTAATTAAAGGTTTAAATTTAGCCCTGGGGCTAATGGGTAACTCTACATTGAAATTCCACTCCATTTCAAGTTCGGGAAAGTAAGTTGAGTAATGGAGAGCAAATACAGCCTGTCCAGAGATGTGTGCCAGCCCGGAGTGTGAGATGTGGCTGAGTTTCAGGTTACATTTGCTTAGGACAAACATGGCACGTGGTCCTTTACATGAACAATTGTTGTTCAGCTTTTATTTTATGCCATTTTTAGGCCTTTTGAGAAAGTGGAGCCTGGTGTCTATTTAAAGCAGGTTTAAAGCAGCTTTACAGGCCCTAAGTCAGAGTTTGGTGACCAGCTCTGTAAAATTTCATTAGGATTTTAATTACTTTGTTTGACTAACTATCTTGAAACTTCCAAGCTGCTTTATTACAATTAATTTGTCTGACCACTGGCCTGGTTGTGCTGTCAGGCAGTGTTAAATGGAAGACGGCAACTCTGCATATGTAAAAGAAAAACTTTTTTTTTTAATCACAAAAAGTGATAAATGCTAATTGCAGAACATTTAGAGAATAAGATAAGCAAAGAGAAGTAGGAAAAAAAATCACTAACAATCTCATCTTCTATGGAAATAACTTAAAATTTCGATTTCTGTCCTGTGTGTATTTTTAACCAAAAGTGAAAACAGGCTGTTGGAGTCTTGTGATTTTTGCTTGCTGTGTTGCGATCATCTTTCCACTTAGAATATTCTTCTGCAGCATCGTTTTAATGACTGCATGGGTTCAGTTTGATGGAGAGATTATAGTTATTAAACCTGTGCCCTACATTAAAGCTTTAGGTTGCTTCCACTTTTGCTGTTGTAAAGAGTGGTGATGACATCCTTTGTTTTTTTAAATCTTGCTACCATCCGATATTATTTTCTTAGGTTAAATAGACGGCTGGGGCAAACACCTGTCATGTTTTTAAGGCTTTCCATCCAGAAAAGTTGTTCCAATCTGCTTCCTCACGCTCCTGCCAGCACTGGGTATTAAAATTTTTTCATCAATATTCATTTCTTTGCCCATTTGATGCAACTCTTTGCCTATTTTAAGTGTGAAATATGCAAACTAATTTCAAACATTTATTAAAGCACCAAACAAGAATCACTATCTGTTTAACCTCCACGCTGCTCCTGTGACCCTCTTATGGAGGTCATGAGTGATATGATTGTTCACCTCCTGTGTGCCAGACACAGAATATTTCCAGTCCTTATGACCACCCTGAAAAGGTGGGAGGGAGGGCATTCTCATCAATATTTAACAGATGAGGCTCAGAGAAATTCAATAATTTGCCCAAAGTCACCTAGTTCTTAAAGTGGTGGGCCCGTGTACAAATGTGGGTTACTCTAAGAACCAAACATGTTCTTGCGCCCTCTGCTGGTGAGGATGTTTTATGGGAGGGGGCCATCTCCAGACACAGTCTTCTCTTTGCACTTGGGAGTCAACTATAATGGAAATAATATGAGCTTTGGAGGAGAGGATCTGGGTCTTAAGAGCAAGTCTCAACCTCTCCCAGCCAATTTCCTCTATGGGATATTCTGAGGTACAAATGAGAAGCATTTTATAAACCTTTAAGTATCTTAAAAAAAATGTCAGTTATTTACACCATCCTAATCCACTTAGTCTCTGAATTACTCCAAATCCCCTTACTTTTCACCTGTTTATTCACTGATCAAATATTATCACGCAACTTCCATGTGCTTAACACCACCTGGCTACAAAAGGGATAAAAAGAAGTGTGGCCTTTAGCCCTCTGCCCTCTATAGTGAAAACAGTGGAAAACAAAGCTCAGGACACATTTAAATAAAAATTCAAGGCCAACTATGATTAAGTGATCAAATAAGTAATCGGACTGGGACTATAAATGTTCAGAATGTGAAAAAGGAGCTTTTTCTATGAGGAGGAGCCAGGATTTAAACTGACCTGGGAGATGAGGAGGGAGGGGGAGGACGCTTCAGGAAAAGGAAGCTCTGCGTACAGATTCCTCGTGAGTTTCAGGCGTACAGGACTAGAACTTGAAATGTAATTTCTCTAAGTGTGCCAAGTTTTTTTCCATTTACCTTCATATTGCCCCATCTAAGAGCCCATTCTAAAAACTTTTTGCATGCACCAACTCTTTTGATTGACACATATGGCAGTCAATTAAAAAAAGAAAAAAAGAACCTGCAAGTAATCACTGACCCTTTAAAAAAAGTAATTCAGGAGACCAAGAAGTCTGAAAAGGAGCTTAAAGATGACAGCGGCTATCACTCATAACAGAAACCATCGCGTACTGTGGAAATAACAAAAGGTTTGGACGCCAGCGTAGGCTCTTACAAGATTGTCACATTTTGGGGCTCCAGGTAGGGAAAATTATGAACTTTTTGCCTCATCTGTAAAGGTAGGTTTAAAAATATTTTATTTTGCAGAGTTGTAAGGATTCCTGATAATATAAATTATATAATTAGCAGAGTATCTTAAGTGGGTAACTATTCTTAGAAAAACGCAGAATATAGAAGATGCACATAACAAAGACCAGGATGTTTCTGGTTCTAGGTCTTTGCAGTGTTCACTAGTCCTGCCAGGCAGGCAGGACCATGAGAAACTTCAGCTGTCAGCTCCGGTGCAGATCAGATTATCTCACTGCGCGTTCCATAAATGTGCAGGCGGCTGCCCATCTAAAATACAGGCACAGTGCTGGCGGGAAACCTGCTCCTTCCCTTCGTCGATGAAGGTTAGATTCCCCAAGACTAGAAATGGAGAGTGTTCGAGAGGTGGTCCTCAACGCCGCCACTCCTCTCCCTGAAATTCACCTTCCCCCTGGGGACTGCTGATCACTTCTCTTGGCCTGGGAGAAGGGGAGGAAGATGGGGGTGTCATTGTTTCCCCCTTTACAATTTGAAATAGATACCTTAATTTCCTTCCTAAGTTCTCCTGGACATCTGAGACGAGATACAACATTTAAATAAGACTTGACTAGTAGCTCAGGGATATTTAATTAAGAAATAAACTCAATGACTAATATACAGCCACATATAACAGCTTACAAAATGTGACTTAGTCATGGGGCCGGCTCCGCGGCCGAGTGGTGAAGTTCGCGCGCTCCTCTTCAGCGGCCCAGGGTTTCGCCAGTTCAGATCCTGGGCTTGGACCTAGCACCACTCATCTGGCCATGCTGAGGTGGCGTCCCACACAGCACAACCAGAAGGACCTGCAACTAGAATATACGACTATGTACTGGGGGCCTTTGGGGAGAAGAAGAAGAAGAAAAAAAAAAAGATTGGCAACAGATGTTAGCTCAGGTGCCAGTCTTTAAAAAAAAAAGTGTGACTGACTCATTGTCCTCATCTCAATATTTCCTGAATGTCAATCTCACGCTATGTTCTGGGTTAGGCTCTGTTAGTACCAAGGAGAACAGGATGGGATCCTATCCTGGAGCCTTCAAGCTAACAGCAGAGAAAGTCACAGTAATATTTTCACCAAAAACATCGAGTATTGAAAAAAGAGAGAGGCCTATGCACAGGGTTCAACCAAAACCCAGCATACCTCCTAGAGTAGAGGCTATTTCAACCTTTGCCCCCAGCACCACCCATCTAGGACATCCTCCTCTCCTTACACAGGAGAAGATGTCCAGGGCAGATGGTGTTCCTGCTACTTCTTACCATGGTCCCGTCCTCCAGGTCTCTTCTCCCTGCCTGAGGACCTGCCCTTCCTGCAGTGACTGGCACCAGTCCCTGACACTGCCCATCCATAGGCCCAGAGAGGATCCTTTTGTCTCTGGCCCCCTCACACCACATGGAGAAAAGAGAAGGGAGGTTATTTTCCCACGGTATGTGCCTAGAATGATGTAGAGCCTGCAGGCTTTTATAACTTGGAGGAGAAGCTGAGAAAAATAGGTGATGGGGTGTGTCCATTAGACTGTTTGAACCGTCACACAGGCAGGTTACTGATTTATCAAGGACAACAGCTCAGGCCAAGAATGGATTTAGATTCCTCCTCAATGTGGGGAGACGGGCTCCAGTACCCCCTCCTCACTTCCACAGTGTTGTTAGAGTAGATATCCAAAACAATTGTGCAAATGCGTTTACTCTTCAAATCTCCTCTGATCCATCCAAATTCTCACTTGGATGCAGCCCAGCCAACTGTGAAGGAAGAGGGATAACCATCAGAATGAAGTGGTCCGTTCCACAAGCCCTCCATCCTCCATGAGGCAGGCACAGCCAAAGGGCATGGGTTTGGGCTTTTCAGATCCCAACTCTGTCACTAACCTGTGTCCTCTGGGCCTCAGCTTCTTCAGCTCGAGGCTGGAGCAAGTCCTGTCTTGCATGGATGTTGTGCAGATTAGAACCAAGGCATGGCTAGAACACCTCCACGTGTCTAACACATAGTGGGTGCTGTGAGGGGTGGCTGTAGTCATTGTATGAGAAATCCCCTGCGAAGCATGCTGCTGAGCAAGCGAGCAGTGGCTGTCCTGTTCCACTGCCGGAGGCATTAATACCATGGAAGAGACCTGGCCTCAGAACTGTGTTAAGAACATACATTTCAGATGCTTCCATGAGATGTCCGCAGTCTTCCAAAAGGGGATTCATGCCCTTAAGACCACCCATAATCCAACTGCAGAATTCGTATGATATTGCTTTTTAAAGAAAATCAATGAATTTTCTTTGT